TTGTCTTTTGGGTAACAATCGTGTACCTTCATTACATGGTTTTAAAAATCGGACCGGACCAGACCAGTCAATTTGACCAGTTAAGTCGTCGACCGGTCGGAGTTCCGGTTCAGATATACTCTCTAAACTGTTCCTAGCCAAAAATTGACCTATTTAAAAATATTCGAAAAAACTAGCAGTTGGACCGCCAAACTGGGTGGCTCGGCGACGAGTCAATTAAATCGGCCAAGTTGATGAAATTAAGGCTGTGTTTGGTTATGTTCTGTAAATATAATTCCATCCCTCCATTTTCATTTCATGTTTAGATAGAGTTTTCAAAATGTGATTCCACCAAACATTTCAAAATGTAATTATCCTTCATGTTTGGCTACTCTCTCTCTTTCATGTTCTCCATTATGAAAAGCAGTAGATTTTTGAATTTGGGTCTACCTGGTCATCCTTCCAAACGTCACCCCAGATGTCCGGCCGGTCGATTGACCGAAACAATGTAATTTTTTTTTTTTCAATTGCCAATCACCATCTGTTATTTGAGGGAAAAAAATTATATTTGTTTTTGATAATTTTTAAATGTAAAAATTAATTTTTTTAGAACAATTTGAATGTTAAAAAGAGTTGGTTATGAGTTTAAATAGAATTTTCAATAGAGTTTTGAATTGTGTGTTTGGTTATGAGTTATAACTTTTTTAATTAATTTTTAAAAACTCTTTTCAAAATTCACAACCAAACAAATTTTATTATTTCACATGTCACATCAAACATTCAAAACTCAATTCAACACTCAACTCAAAACTTTTTTCAAAACTCATAATCAAACAAATTTTCTACACTCAAATCATAATTCCAAAACTCACAAACTCAAAATATAATTCTATTCTTAAATCATATTTCTAAAATGCTACATAAAAATTTTGATTTTTTTTTGGATATTTTCTACCTATTTTTTTTATTCTTTATTTCTTATTTTATATATATATAAGAAAATTTTAATAAGAAACTATCTTTCAAGGGTCTCTTCTTGTGAGGAATCTCATTAAGAGTTTGAAATTATTGTGAAAGTCTCTACCTATTTATAAGAAAAAAAATTCTTGAAAAAAACTCAAGAAATTCACATGGGATTCAATCAAATTTATGGGAGGAATACTTAAAATTTTGATATTCTTCCAAAATTTTTACTCTTCATTCAATCAAATTATTTGAATTAAAATCATATAGAGGGAATATTGAATATTTGGTTTCCTCTTCCAAAATTAAAATTAATAATATATATTATTATATTTTTAGTAAAAAAAATATTAGGAGAAATATTTAAAATAATTTAATATTTTTAGTTTTTTTAATTTATAATTTTATTACTTATATTTTTATGTAAATATAACTTTAATATATTTATGGCGTCACGGTTCGATTTTGGTTCAACCCGATAGTTGAACCGGTAATCCGTCCACCCGATCCATTCTTTGGTTTGCTCACCGATCCAATTTTTAAAACATTGCTTCATTAGTTAGGAAAAAAAAATTTACTCTCCACTTTTTTAAAATTATTATTAAAATATCACATGTCGCCTTACGTATTTTATAATTAAAAAAAATACAACTGTAACATCACTCGGGTGTACCTGTGCGCGTTAAATAGTTTGGATCCTTAGTTTCTTTGATTTAGTCTCACAAGTGCAATGTGAAACATAAATGAGAGTCCAAATCCGGCAACTTTTATAGAAAATCTATTTTATTGCAAAACCTTGCTAGAAATGGATTACATCACCAGATCTTAGAGTCACTACCTAATATTTTGAAAAAATTAAGAAACTCGTGACTCGTGCCAAGGCCACTATTCGTTGTAACCAAAGTGTCTTGGTTTGAAACCTTAGATATGAAATGGGAAGGTCATTATTGAGCACTCTCGCTCACCCCTATCAAAGATCGACCTCTACTAACCATGATATGAGTTTTATTTTCTTTATATGTTCATATTTCGATTATTTAATAAATCCTAAAATTTACTATGTGAAGCATACAAGTATAGACTATATCATTCATTTTGAAGCAACTTGATTTCATATATTTTTGAAAGAGTTTTGAAGACGTAAACTCAAAGAAATTGAGTTTACAAATATGCAAATCAACATCATTCCAAATTAAGAGACACAACCTCCATCTACTGGCATTTATACAATTACATGGTAGGATGGTAGACATAGTAAGAAAAACACACACAAGCGAGATGCTAAAGCATAAAAACTTACATATTTACCGAAGTCCCGTAAACAACTACAAAACAAAGTTAACAAAATATGCATGATCTTATATACACAATCCTAATGCAATTCACTCATGAGATAAAACTAAAGATTCAACTTCTAATATATGACATGTGAATCATCTCAAGAACATGAGGTAGCGCACATAATCACATAAGAATTGATCAAATCCACAAATGCAAACTTAGCCGAATCATGAGGCGTGAAACATGGATGCAAAGTATGGATATAATGAAAAACAAAATATGATGCATATTTATAAATAAAGAAAGCAAGTAAAAGAATAGGATAGAAAGAAGCGAGGTAGGAAATTATTACAATATTTGAAAGAATAATTATAAACTAAATGAGAGAGAGAGTGTGAGAGAGAATATTACAACGAAAATTATATTAAAAAAACACTCACAAAACACTCAAAAGAAAACAAAATAGAAGTTTCATGCGCCTTGAAGACCATAGGAACTTGTTATACTCAACACCGGAAGGCTACTCTGTTCCATCCAAAAGAAATTAGCAGGCCGGTCAAATAGGCCGACTGGCAAACTAAGCCTAGCAAAACCTATCTTGCTGTGTCACCGAGAAAAGAACAAATAAAAAATATATAAGTAACTCAACTAACCACTCTCTGTTAGATTACAAATAAAAAAACTAATATAAACTAAAACAAGAAAAATGAATACAAAATAAAAAGTGCAATATTACAACAAAACTAAAACAAAAACAAAAACAAAAACAAAAAAAACAAATATTAAGAAAAAAAGTGCAAGATTACAACAAATGAAACTAAAACAAAATATAAATAAATATAAGATAGAAAGTGCAAGAAAATGAAAGAATTGAAAATTCACCTTCCAAAGAAATATTGAATTTCTTGATTTCCAAACCTCCTCTTGATCACCTTCAAGGTTGTGAATTGTGTTCTTAATCCTCAATTCAAGAGTTTGGAATTTGAGCTTCAAAGGTAGCTTTGGACAATTGTAGGAAATGATCACTTGGTTCTTGAACTTAACAAGGACTACTCTCTCTTTGATCAAAACTCTAGAATTTAACTACAATAACATGACTTGGATAACTTTTTGTAATAGAAGATGAGATATAGTGTATAGCTTGAGAAATGGAAGTTCACAATTAACACTCAATTTTGGCTAACTTTTGAATTCAAAGCTTAAACTCTTTTTTGCTCTATCTCTAGCCTTTTCTACTCAATCTATCCTCATCATCCTCTCAACATTCTGATGTATTCATATAGGCCATGTAAGTAGAGAATTGGTGGAAAACAAACTGAAAGATTAATTGAGCATTAGGGAAGAAAATAGAGCAAATAGAGCACTAATAGAGCCAATGGAAGACAAAAGTGGAGTATTAGCTTCAATGGATCAAGCACTAGACAATAGAGGGTGAATATGCATGCATTCAATGCATGAATGGGTCAAATAATGGGTTTGGGAAGTGCCCACCCAAACCAACACAAAAACTGGGCAATCTGTCTGTGAGGCGGTCGATCGGTCGGACGACCAGGCGATCAACCGACCAGAGGAGAAAAAGTTCGTTTCGCTCCGGTTCAATCCAACTTTGCTCCGAATGTCCAACAAGGCTTAAACATTTGACCAAAATAGGCTTAAAGTTGTGAACAAAGCTCAAATTCTATCTCTCTTACTAAAAATTCTGTGAGAAATACATTCTGAATTTCATCATCGAGTAATCAAACGAAAACAACCAAGTCATAGAACCGGTTAAAATGAGGTGCCTACAACTACTAAAAATATAATGAATTGAACAAAACTGAGATAATGGTGCACGTCCTTTGAAGGTGTGTATCATATATATCTTATAATTAAAAAATAAAATGGTATAACTTCATATTTTCTAAGTTATAATTATATATATATATATATATCATAACTAAACACAACATAATATATAACTAAAATAATATCATAATTAAAAAAATAGTTAGTCATAGCTAAAAAAATGGCATAACCAGGCTGCGTAAGAGCATCTCTAACGATGTATTTTTTTATTTGTTAAATTTGAGTAAAAATTTCATTTGATATTAAGTGTTCCAACGAAATATTTTGAACTTTCATCAAAACACTAATCGACCAGACAAACGACTGAAAGGATGTCTGATTGGTCGACCGGCCAGTTTAATTTTTTCATAAACTTTTGCAAATAGGTAAGTTATCCAGGAGATATCTAGAAACCATCCAATAATGAAAATGCAATAACTATGATAGTGAAATAATGAAAGGTCTTAAACGTATTCAATTGGGTGAAAGGTCTTAAACGTATTCAATTGGGTGAAATATTTTTAATATTTTCGATTTAGGCCTAGTTTTGGAAGACTAAATAAGTGTACTTTTTGACTTTTTATGAAATATTGGTTAGATTTGGGTTGAGTTTGAAGTGATGTGTTAGAAAGGTGATGTGACTTAAATAAGATGATGTGACTTAGGCCAAGTTTGGCTACAAAGAAAAAAGTGCACTTATTTCATCTTTTTATCTTTTTTGGGTCACATCAATCAACATCTCCTCTCTACTTTTTCTACACATAATACAAAAAAAGTCAAAAAGTGCACTTATTTAGTCTTCCCAAACTAGGCCTTAAATAGGATAGTGATTTTTTGACTTTTTATCTTTTTTCAATCACGCCAAACTTGGCCTTAATACTCATTCAATGAAATTATTAAAATAGAAAAAATGTTAATTTTTTATTAAATTTAAATTTGATAAAAAAATTTGATGTGGTCAATCGGGTGTGTATTTAGGGCTAGTTTGGCATCATCACCTCTCTAACACATCACATCAAACCCAACCCAAACCCAACCCAAACCCACCAATAAGTCAAAAAGTGCACTTTTTTAGGACATCCCAAACCAACCCTTAATTTCCCCAAATCTAACAGCAACACTTTCAATTTTGCATCAATCGATCGGTTTTGTTCTTAAATTTCCGATGGACGACAACACTTTCGATCCCGTAAAACAAAACCCTAATTCTCCCCCTTTTGATTCTCTCTCTCTCTCTCTCTCGATCTCTCGATATATATATATATATATCTGACAAATTGTTTATGTAAATCACAGGATCTGATTCATGCAATCTTCAAGCTCGTATGGAATCGTAGAGCTCGCCGTTAGGATCTGATTCATTCAATTTTCACACACACATATATACATATATATATTCTTCAAATTGTTATTGTTATCTGAAATTTGTATTGTTTCTCTGCAGAGCGCGAGAAAAATGAAGGCACTGAGACTATGGAAGGAGAGGTAAATTTTTCCATGCATTTCTCAACATTTTAACTTTCTTTCTCTGTTGTTTTCAGTTCTGAGACTGATGTGATGTTTAATCTGTCGGTGCAGTGTGTAATGATGTGACAACATTGTGAATGCATAATAAATTGGTGTATTAATGAATGTAATCTGTAAAGTCTGATATATGGAATTATTCTAGTTATGGTTTACACCATGATTGTTTATCTTGCACCTACAAAGTTGTGCAAGCATGTCTGAAAATCTATTAGTCATCTTCTTGTTCATTGTGACGTGGCTTGGGAGGTGTCCTCGTTGAGCCTTGTCATGTTTGGCATTTCTTTGGATGTTTCATAAGAGTATGGAGGAGTTGGAGAGGAGCTTGCTTGAGGAGGAGGAGGAGAAGGAAGGCTTGGGATTTGGTTCCACTAGATCTCATGTGGGTAGTGTAGGGTGAAAAGAATAGGCAGACTTTTGTTGGCAAAAAAGACTCAAATTTGTGGGGAAAGAGTAAATTAATTTATATTTGAAAAGAATAGGCAGACTTTTGTTGGCAAAAAAGACTCAAATTTGTGGGGAAAGAGTAAATTAATTTATATTTTTGTGTAGTTGAAGCCGATGTGATCCATAGAATCAAACTAGGTTGGTTCAAGTGGAGGCGTACGTCTACATATTATGTGATTGATACATACCAAAAAAATTGAAAGAATTTTTTTATAAAGCAATGATAAGGCCAGTGATACTTTACGGAATAGAATGTTGTTTATAAAATGAGTATAGTTGAGATGAGAATGCTTAGATGGATATTTGGTAAGACTAAGAAAGATATAATTAGAAATGAATATACTCATGAAATAGTAGGAGTTAACACCAATTGAAGATAAGTTAAGAGAGAATAGATTAAGATGGTTTGGTCACGTACAATGAAGATCTATAGATGCAATGGTAAGGAAGAGTAATATGATCTACATAAATGAAAATGTTAGGGAGAGGGGAAGACCTAAATTGACATGAGATGCAATATAAAAAAAGATACGAGTTTATTTAATTTAACTAAGCATATAGCTCTTGACAAAGCAGAATGGCGAAAAATGATTTATGTAGCTAATCCCATTTGAGTGGGACAAAAGGCTTAGTTTGGTTTGGAGAGTTGGTTGTCAAGTATGGTTAATCCGTATGTGGACAAAATTTTGGATTTTGTAGAGGTATTTGAATAGGCATTATGATGTATAGATGGTATAGTTTCTTTTGCAAACGGATTGCACCCCCTTGGTGCCTCTCTTAATGAATTTTTAAAAGATATATATATATCTTATATTATGTGAAATTTTCATAGATGTCAAGGAAATATGGAAAATACCATTTTTTTAGGGGGCTACCAATAAACCTCTTTATATATTTATTTATTTTTGTGTCGATGTGGTTTTCCATACCCTTATTTTCGGTTTGTCATTGTTTGCTAATCTGGTTTATCATTTTCAGCTTGTTCTCTATTTGCAGATTAAGTCATGCTTAGCAGTTTAAAATTCTGTTATTTACAGGCAGGAGCTGGAACATCCAAGAAAAGTCGTCCTACCTTTGGTAAGGAATCCTTAATTTCTTTAATGGTATCCATGCTGCATAACATGATTTTGAGTTGATTATCTGCATAGTCATTATATCTAAGTTTTGACTTTCAATGTATTTTCTTGTTTTGTTAAATGAATCAATAATGCATTGATGAATTAGGAGTTTGCATATGCTTTCCACAAACACATTTACCCAAAATCTATCTTTCAAGGTTTCAGTGATTACAATATCTCTGAAGGAAAGGATTACTATGCTTTAGGAGTTTCATTTGCTGCAATAGGTTCTATAAGTTACTGTTAAATTTGATTTTTTTTTTCTTACACAAAATGGTTCTTGATCTTCATGATACAAGTTTAACACTTTAATTTTGAGTCGCCATTAAATATCATTATGCTAGCCACCGAATTTGATATTCTGCACTAGGTGCATTGCTTATGGAGCAACAAAAATATATTTCATACACATGATTTTAATTGATTTCCTTTTGTTTTATCCACTGATGCAGCTAATGCAAATGCTCTGAAGCTGAGCTGTGAACTTCTTCGAGTCTTTGTCACAGGTGTCTACATGCCTTAAATACAATTTCCATGTTTCTTATAATGCATGTGCCTATTTCTTTGTATTATTTTCTCAATATCTTTTAAAACTTTTTTTTTTTTTTGTTGATTTAGAGGCTGTTCAACGTGCTGCTACCATTGCTGAAGCAGAGGGTGTTAGTAAAATAGAGGCAACTCATCTGGAAAGGATTCTTCCCCAGTTACTTTTAGATTTTTAACAGAACACCCAGGAATGCAAAATTTTGACCTTTGTATGTGTGGGTCTGTGCTTTCTTTATCCTGCCTTAGGAGTTGTTTGTTGACAGTGATTTTGAAAATTCAATATATTCAAATGTCTAAAGGTGTTTTTGGAAGTTAACTAGAGCAGTTAATGCACCCCATTTTGTATTGTGGTGAGAAATAGAAGATCTTGTTTTGTAAATATTAACTTACAGAGTTCAAACCATCAATATGAATGTTCATATTGTAGGTATCTGTATTGTGCTTGGCACGTGGTGAGCCCTACGGGCGTCACGTCATCATCATTACACATCCACGTGGCAAACTCTTGAGGCACCAAGATGAGTTGGAGTTGTATGCCTAGCCTAAGCGGGGACGGGCACACTACCAAGTATGAAAACAGGATCACAACTCACCTTGATAGAGCTGGCTCACCTGGAGCTCTCCATGGCCCTTCATGACTTGTAAGAAACATATTCTCTACCCACTCTCCCTAGCTCCATGGCAACATAGTTGGACCTTTGGCTCAACTATGTTCACTTAGCTGCAAGGGCTCACCCATGTACGCACTCCCTTAGCTGCCTAGATTGGGAGCAGGACATAGGCACTCCCTCTTGGGATCATTGGAGGATTGTGGATTGGAGGCTAAGATCTCGGGATCGTCAAGGTCATGCAGCTGTCTCTCTGCAGTGACAGTTCCACCTTGACCTGGCTTGGAGGAAGGGAACATTGACCTTACATTTACACCTATTGCATATATGATACGTCTCTCAAGATATCATACTTGCACCTGCAGCTCCTATGATGCAACCTTCCAAAGGACCTAAATCATAGGACACAACTAGTAGGGCTGATATCACCCTCCTGTTGAGTCAAGAAGAACTTGCCACCTGTCTTGAGGTTGTTTGGGCTCCAATATTCCTGGAGTCTATATAACGGCATTATAAGTGCAACCACAATCATAACAAGAGCAACAAGAATCATTACAACAATATATGCAATGTGTTGAAGGTCTCTCACTGCTATCCCTTTTCTCTCTAAGTTTAGTCTTCTCCTCTTCCACCTTTGGTGATCTTAGGCCATTGAAATGTCCGCCATCTTACCAGAGGTCAACAACCAATTGCCTCTAACCTCACTAACCCACACATATTTTCTAGTTTTTTTTTATTTTTTTTTATTTTTTTTTTTTTATACATCTTCGTTCAACCTTTGTTGTTCTCTATGCCTGTATTCATGTGATTGGAAATCATTTATATCCTGCATATAAATTTCTACATTGTTTGTTGTTTTTATGTTTTGCCTTCTACATTTGCATTTTTTGACCAGCAGTAGTAGAACTGGTTATTATTAGATTTGGGTTGCACTGGACTTCTGCTGATAGGACTGGCTACTGTCTATAATCACATCTGTTTGTAATATTTATTCAGCTTCTCTGTATTATCTGTATCTTGCTTCCTTTGGAACTGTAGGTAGCATGTCGAAATAGGCCAGAAAGCTAGGAGTTCTCTGCATTTTCCATAAGGCTGTAAATGAACAGAGCCGTTCGCGAGCAGGCTCGAGCTTGGCTTGGTAAGAGCTTGTTCGAACTCTGCTCATTAAATTTTTTTTTGTGTTCAAGCTCCAGCTTGTTAAATTTTTAATAAACAAGCCTAAACATTCTAAAGCTTGGCTCGTTAGCTGGCACGTTTAATATTTATTATTTATATATTAAATAATGTAAAAATATGTATAAAAAAATAAGATAAATATGTTATTTATATATTTAAAAAATATAAATGTAAATAATAGTTAACTATAGATAGTACATTTATATAATAGATATTATTACTTTAGTAAAATAGTGACTTTTTTTTAGTATTTTTATGTATATTGTATATATAATTGTATAATTAAAGTTTTAATTATAATTTTAGTCTCATATGCAAGTATGAATTTATAAAAATTTTAGCTCATTAAGGCTCGTGAATAGGTTTGAGCTCAAGTCAGGCCCAAATCAACTCGGCTCAAGTTCGGTTCGTTAAATTTTTATTGAACTCGAGCTCTAGCTCGAATTCATTAAAATCTTAATAAACGAGTTTGAACATAATAAAACTCGGCTCAACTCGGTTCGGTTTGTTTACAGCCCTAGTTGTCCATGTCTTCCTTCCTTCGTAAGTCTTCCTTTGTAGGCGTAGGAAGCATGTGGAAATACATATGCTTAAAAGCGAGAAGATGACTCACTGTGGTAATGATTTTTAAACAAAATAACTGGCTCTCATTGTAATTCACTGTTATAGAGCGACTCTTTGTTCTTTCACAATCTGGATGGCACTATTAGACTTCGAAATAAAATTTCTGTCACTAAGCATCCTAGAGCTGTGCTAGCACATGTCATGATTTCGCATGGTTGATGCCTCCCTGACCCTACTTCGCTAATAAAGCAAATAATCTCTTCCTATTGAAGTTTTGATCAACACTTTCATCATTCTTCTAGCTTGAATGTTTCTCATATAGAATTATGATAGATTTTGTCATAATGGAAGTTTTGGTAATTTTCCTCACTTGGAAACATTAGAGGAGAAATCAAAGACATATGACTTGTGTTTCTTCTCTTACTTCATGTTATTAGCTACTGGAAGTTAGTGCCAATATTGTAGGCAATTCATGAATCAATGGGCAGGCCCACTTCTTCCTCTCCTTGGTGCTTTTCTTGCGCCTGTGGCTTTCCGCTACTTCGCTCCTCCATTCCCATTATAGGAGCGACTTAAGATTTTTTGAAAATCTAAAAAATTAGAATACAGATATGGTTAGGATATGATAAGTATATATATATATATATATTATTTTTATATTTATTTTTATTTTTTTATAATTTCTAATATTATATTATGCATTAGTTCGGAGAATAGTGAGAAATCATTATGAATTAGAAATTAGTTTAAGAGTCAAGAGTCTATTTATTTATTTTTAGTGAATACATTTATTTGATAAAATTTGAAAAGGTAGGGTTTTAATTTAATTTCACTATTTTCTTCTTCGTTAAGAAATAAAAAAATATTGAAAAACTGTGTTCATTTTAACAATTATACGTAATATTATGTAAAAATTATTACAATTTTAATTTTATAATAATTTGGATATTTCGGGTGTGTTTGGTAACGTTTACGTTTTCAGTTTATATTTACAAAAATTTTGAAAAATGACAAGTGGTGGCATGTGGTGCGTGGTGACGAGTGGTGGCGGCGGAAGACGGTGGTGGAAAATGATGGTGGGTGGTGGTGGTGGAAAATGGTGGCAGGGGGGGGCTAGTGTTGGGGGATAAAAAAAAAAAAACCTCAAAACTCAAAACAGAAACACATTTTTTGTGTTTTCATTTTTTGGCCAAATTTATAAACTGAGACCACTGATTTATAAATCAAAAATTTTACCAAACAAGTTTTTATTTGAGTTTTTAAAATTTTTGTAAATATAAACAGAAAATTGAAAACGTAAGTGTTACCAAACAACACCGAAGTGTTTGAAAAGTATCCGATACTCTTTAAAATTAATATTAACTATAAGATACGTTTAGAGAGTATTGAATATGAATCCATGTGTCTGAAGTATACCAATATTTAATATGAATATAATATAGATACGATTCTCTTTTAAAATAACTGTTCATAATTTAAGATCCTAAATTAAATATTAAAATAAAATTTTATTTTATTGTGTCTTGAAAAATTGAGCCTTTCGACGATAAATTATTTTTAAGATTTTTTTTATTCAACCTTAGACGATGAATTAAGTAGCCTACTAGTTAGGCCGCCTCGGTCCCCGTTACAATTGCGTCGTACAAAAAAAGCTATAATTGCTGTTTGTCATTGTATACTCTGACTTGTGTACAAGAAATTGTTTCCTAAGAAAGATTTAAGAAATAAGCTTGAGACTAACTAACTTAGATGCATGTAATGTAATGAATACAAAATTTATAGTCAGTTTCAACCAAAGTTTTAAAATGTTTTACTGAAGCTCACTTCAATATTCACCGCGAGGTTAAAAACCAACTTAGATGCATGTAATGTAATGAATACAAAATTCATAGTCAGTTTCAACCAAAGTTTTAAAATGTTTTACTGAAGCTCACTTCAATATTCACCACGAGGTTAAAAACCAACTTAGCCTCTGTTTGGCAAGTGAGGTTGGAGGCTTTTTTGGCTATTTTAGCCACAAAAAACAAAATAGGTTATTTTAGCCATAACAAACAAAACATCACATCCAACCCATAATCATTACATTCTTCTCTCACAAAAAAACTCAAAAAAGCCAAAAAGCCAAAAAGCCCTTCCCAAACCAAGCTTTTAAGCCCAGGCTAAAATAGCCAAAAAAGCCAAAAAGCCAAAAAGCCAACCCACTTCCCAAACCAAGCTTTAGATGCATGTAATGTAATGAATACAAAATTCATAGTCAGTTTCAACCAAAGTTTTAAAATGTTTTACTGAAGCTCACTTCAATATACACCTTGAGGCGAGGTTAAAATAAAACGCCTTAAGACTTGAACTTTTTAGCTTTATTTCTCAAAGGCTTGTGCACACAATCTTGAGACATGCGCTTTTCGTACATCTTATATGCTTTTTACGCATAAGAAAAATTAAGTACATAATTAATTAAGAAAAAACATAGTTAATGCTCAGTGAGAACTCAATTACTACATAATACCAATTTCACCTTTAATAAAGTAAAACTTATTTCTCTACAGTAAGCCTTGAGTAGAAAAGTATTTACACATTTATATTTAATTTTAATGTATTTATTTATTGTTTTAAACTATTTAAATTATTTACTAAATATAAAAATTTAGAATTTGAAATGCTTACGCCTCAATGTCTTAAAGTTTACACCTTGAGGCCTTAAAGCTTACGCCCCGCCTCAAGTAGGGTAAAACACCTCACATTACCTATTTGCCTTTAAAAACTTCGGTTTCAACAAGCAACTTGATTGCAGATTATGTAATGAATACAGAGCTTAAAGCAATAGATGTGTTTTGACTGAAATTATTGCTGAAAACACTTGGATTCTATTAGTGAAGACAAAAAAAAAAAAATAGCAAAACAACATTTGCATTACAACATTTATATAGTATACAACAGCATTTATACCATGGGGACAAATAGCTGTTCTACTTGAGACCTAGGGTTTGTTTGTTGAATGAGGTAAAGCTTACACCTCGCCTCAAGTAGGGTAAAACACCTCACATTACCTATTTGCCTTTAAAAACTTCGGTTTCAACAAGCAACTTGATTGCAGATTATGTAATGAATACAGAGCTTAAAGCAATAGATGTGTTTTGACTGAAATTATTGCTGAAAACACTTGGATTCTATTAGTGAAGACAAAAAAAAAAAAATAGCAAAACAACATTTGCATTACAACATTTATATAGTATACAACAGCATTTATACCATGGGGACAAATAGCTGTTCTACTTGAGACCTAGGGTTTGTTTGTTGAATGAGGCACTCCCTTATCCGATGCAATGCCCAGATTCGACTTTTACTTCCCTTATTCCCCTTCTACTGATTGTTTAAAAAAAAAAAAAAAACATTCTTCATCACATACTATATGCATCATTATTCTTACACTTATACAACATTTAGTAGCTTTCTTAGTTCTTGATCTGAGACAACATGCACCTAACATCCTTGCTGTTAGGCCTCTGTTTCGGATCATCGAGAGTGCAGAAGCAAGCAATCTTAAGAACGAGGAGCATATTTTCATGGTCCCCGTTCCCCATCAGTCTCGGGTCAATTGCTCTGGTTGGATCCTCAGAAGTCATGACATTTCTCATCCACTTCACCAAACTCATTTCTGATGTATGTTGGAAGAAATCATCAGATGGAAGCTTTCCTATCACCAGAACTCCTAACAGTACCCCAAAGCTGAATATGTCGCACTTGTCTGTGAACTTCAATGTCTGGTGGTACTCTGGAGCGATATACCCAACAGTTCCCGCAACATTGGAGGTTGTAACGTGAGTATGCGCATCGGGCACTGCTTTTGCGAGCCCAAAATCTGCAATTCGAGCTTCCATGTCATCGTCAAGAAGTACGTTTGCAGGCTTGAGATCTCTATGAATTATACGCGGAGAATGGCTTGTGTGGAGATACTCGAGCCCAGAAGCCACCCCAATTGCGATCTTGTGCCGAGCCTGCCAATCAAGCTCTCGAGTCCCAATCGAAACCTGGTTCAGGATGTCTTGTAAGCTGCCATTTTTCATGAACTCGTATACGAGGTAATGGCAGTCAGGCCGGGACACGTGGGCTAGCAGAGGAAGAAGGTTTCTGTGCCGTATCTGACCCACGGTTTGAATCTCCGATCTGATTTGCCTCATCTTCTTGTTCAGAAGCTTACTATCTTCATCTGTCAAGTCTGCTGCATCTTTTGGGGGTTGGATGATCTTCTTTATAGCTATCAATTTTCCATTACTTCCCGGTAACTCCGCCTTGTAAACAATTCCACAGCCACCACTTCCGATGACTTCAAGCGATGCGAGTCCATCTTCTTTCTCCAAAAATGCCAAGTCCTCCGCTTTCTTGATTAGCGGGCTGAAGATCGCCGGACCCGATTCCTTCTCTCTGCCCCTAATCAAAACAAGCATGAGCTTGAATAGGACTGAAAATACCAGCCCAGAGACACTCCCAGCAAGTGCTCCTGCGAGGAATCCGAGAATCCACCCTCCCGCCTTCCTCTTGCTTTTCTTATGCTTATTTGATGTTGTTGCTGCTGGCCCGGGGGCTTGAGCGATGTTACTGGTGCTCGAACTCTGACTTGGTGCAGGCGACATTGCATTACGATTACTACGTGTCGTGGAATTCTCAGCCAAAACATAACGCTTTGGAATAGCGGTCCTCTCTGTCAACTCTGCCCCCGAGTACTCAACCCGTTTCATTACCGGTACTGGGCCTTCCAGGAAACTATTCCCGGAAATGTTAAAGAAGCGGAGATTGCGAAAGGATCGCAATGAAACCGGTACTTTCCCAGAAAACAAGTTGTTTTCCAGGTATAGTTTTTCCAGGTTGGGAAAGTACTTGAGAAAATTCAAATTCCCGGAAAATTTATTGGACGAGAGGTCGAGGACGCGGAGGCGGACCAAAGACGAGACCTCCAGTGGGACTTTGCCGGAGAACTGGTTGTTCCGGAGGTTCAGAATCTCGAGTTTTCGACACTCGACAATCTGGGATGGAATTTGGTCAACGAGGTGGTTGTTTGGGAGAGAAATCTCTTTGAGCTCGGATAGTTCCCCAATCGCCGGGGATAGAATTCCGACAAGTTGGTGAGATTTCAATACAATTCGAGTAATTCGAAGAACATATGAATGGTTTGCAATCCTCCGCTCGCAGAAAACTCCGGCAGCGGAGGTGCAGGGGCTGTCCGTGTCCCAGCGTTGACTCTTGATGATGCCCAATTCTCTGTGGACAATTGAAAGAGCATCGTGGTCGGAACGGTGGAGATTGGGCTTGGCACGGGCAAGGAGTAGGAGGGTGAAGAGAGAGAGCAGAGAAAGGAGAGAGGAGAAGGAGGCCATGGCCGCGGCAGCAGCAGCGGAGAGTGGTGGTGGTGCTGGGTGGTGGCTCTGGGAGGACTTGGTATGGGATGGTGGTGACTTATATAAAGGCAGGCCGTGTGGACTTGACTCCCTTGTGGAAAATTATTTTTTTGATAGTTTGGAGCCGTGTGGAAAATTGTATGGTGTGGGGCCACCTGTAGCAGTTTTTCTTTTCCTCGTGTTTTTCCCTGTTATTCTAATTCATAATTTTCTTAAATACTACTCAACTTTAGTTTGGTTTTTTTGATGTATTTTTTAAAAATTGAGTTTTTTAATTTTTAGTGATTTTTAATAATTTTTTTACTTTGTAAATGTATATAATTTAGATGCACGGACACCTTATAAGTAAAATATTTATAAAGAAATATTTTTAAAATTTAATAAATGTATAAGAATAGAAAAATATATGTTCTATTTTTTGTATTTGATGAATTTTGTAAAGATTTTTTTTCATATATATTATACGTTTTAAGATATTTAGGTTAAATGTAGAGAGATTTACCAATAAATCCCAAATGTTAAACTTATGAACCAATTGGTTCCAATTTTTTTCTAATAAACCATTTAGTCCTTGGATATTTTGACGGACCTTAATGCCCTCATTTAGATGTTATTAGATGCATGCTCTTTAAGAGGATGTGTCACGTGACACACAATATGTCACGTGACACACACAATGGGTGCCACACATCAACAAAGTACACTAAAGCTCTTTATGCTTTTTGCTTTGGAGTGTCACGTGACACATACAATATGTCACGTGACACACACAATGGGTGTCACACATCAACAAAGTACACAAGGTTGTTTATGCTTTTTGTCTTGGAATGATGTATGTCACATGACACACACAATGGGTGTCACACATCAACAAAGTACATTAAGGCTTTTTATGCTTTTGCCTTGGCATGATGTATGTCACACGACACACACACAGAAGGATATAATTGACCAGTCAATGTTACTAAACAAAGGAAATAGGATCAACTGGTAAGATATTTTCCCACTAATAAGACTAATCAGAACAATAGAAATAACCTTATGACCAATCGGTAAAACTGTTTGTGAGATAAGATTTATTGGTAAATATCCCTTAAAGGTATCTAAAATAAAAATAATTTCTTAAAATATTAAAATTTTTGACCAAAACTAGAAATTTAAAAAAAAAAATCACTTTTTTAAAAAGTATGCTCGATTTTCTGAAACCAAATAAGGTGATTTGTTTTTTGTTTTTTTATATTAATTATCTCTAAATAAGGAAACTAATCATAAATATCTATGTAAGCGGTGATATGTGATTTTGTGTTCATATCTAGTGTTTGTGTTGAGTTAATGTGTTATGTTATGTTAATGAATCTCACTCTTAATTGAAAATAAAGTATATAGAAATATTAAAAAAGTTGCTGATAAATAAAGTTTGATGAATTAATCTCTTCCTCGATAGCATTATACTAACACATTTAATACAAGATTGAGTTGTGCTATATATGTAAATGATCTGGGTTTTATTAATAGCATCTTATTCCACTGTCAAAGTTGTAACTGCTATTTATATGCTTTTGAAAATAAAAACAAACTGGATTTGTCACTCAATTGGGCTACATTTTGTTAGAAATTGGCATAAAACTAGTACTTGATGGAGCTTATTAATTGTACTGACTATACTATTTTTTTTTAAAAAAATGAGCCAAATAGACAAATTTTACTCATAATCTTAGGGTTTTGTGAATTATTAAATGTGAATTAGTTCGGCTATGAACACAAAAAGTCAGTTATATCTGAACAAAATTTTACAAGTTTCTTAATTGGGTCCATTTTAAAAAAGAGTAAATTACACTCGTCTCCCCTAAAGTTTGATAAAAATATAATTAATTATAAAAGTTTGATATAATTACACCGACTTCTCTTTTGATAAGGTAAACAAATCAAAATTAATGCAGATGATGAGTAGATAGATGAAATAAATAAGGAAAAAAAACAATTTAGTAGCAAAATGGATGATAATATTATTTTTTATTCATACGACTTACAAATTAATGATAAAAAAAATATGCAAGCGTCATGTAAAATAAAAATTCGAGAGAGACCAGTGTAATTATATTAAAAGTATGCGTTTTTAAAAAACATGCCCCCGTTCATTGATTTCAGGTCCAAATTTAGCAAAAATGAAAGTCCGCTGATATGCTAGCAGTGTGTTCTCACTTCCCCAATTAAGCCTTGAGTTGCAATAACATTTGCTGCAGAAATCATGGATTAAAATATAGTATGTTTTTTTCACTGAATATTCCTTTTTTTTTGTTCTTTTGTTTTTTTCTCTGTCTTGTACTTGAATCTGTAAATAAATATATATATATATATATAGAAATATGTATATATGCCTATATGTGTAGACTTTCATGTAGGTTATTAGAGGAAGAGGGTTTCCTTACTATGCTCACAAGACAAAACAGGTTGGTGTGAGGGCTCAAGTGAATTCATCCGAGCTTATTTAAATAATTTGAATAGTTGAATTATAACTTATTTGTTTTAGTTTATTTGGTAAAAAAAAGTGAGATTTTTCTTAAGTTGCAATTTTGTAAAAAAAGGTCTCGTTTGACAATTATATGTTTTAGTCAAAAATCAAAATATCACTATAAGTTATCACAACATTTTTTTTATTTTTCTGTATATTTTTTCGTAAAAAACTAAAAAATTACTTAAAAAAACTTGTTCTCAAACGGAATATATATGGAAAAAGAGCCCAACTTTTTTGTTTGAATTATAATTTTTGACAACATTCTGAATATTTACACAATAAAAAAAGGGAGTCATATTAACTTGACTTATTTATTTACAGTTTCTGACTCATAAATTTATCACTATAAATTTATTCATAAAAACAAGAGAGGTTGATAAATTTATTAGACTTAATGGGTAATAAAGTCTCAGAAGTAAGATCTATTGATAATTTATCCAAAAAAGAAACTTAACAACCTATTTAACAAAAAAAAAAATTAGCTTTTTCTTCACAAATTATAAAAAGTTCACGAACCAATTTATAACTGATTTTAATTTACACTAATAATGTAAAAAGAATATCATCATAAAAATTAAGAGAAACTACAACACAGTGAATTTGTTAAAAAATAATTATTAGTTGATGAAAAAGCATATTACTTCATACTTTGATACTTGTAAAATTTATCATTAATCTATAAATATTTTTTTAAATATACACTGCCCTGTAATTTTCCTTAAAAGCTAACGTACCAAACTAGGAGGCAACTTAATTCTATGATGATGACCACTACATATAGTGTTCAATGAGAATGAATTCTCTTTACTTTGGACATCTAATTGGATTGTTTAGTCTGGCTGCTTGTGAGTTTATTTTAGGTTCATCTTGATAATTTAAATTATTTATTTTTAAAACCCGTCGAAGAGATTATGCATACTAAAAATAAGGTTGATTAGATATCGAAAGTCACTCGATTATTAATTATTTTTCAAATAAATGTGGTTTTTGATATATAAATGTGATTTCAAATAATTATTGACTTGATTTTTGGTGTGAATAATCTTTTTATATAACCTTAAAAAATAAATAATTTAAATTATTAAAACGTTATCGAAGTGAGTCGAATTGGATTGTCTAGTTGGATATCCCAACCAGAGAGATTTTAATCCATATCCTAGTTTGCTACTTGTGCAAGTATGCCATAATGGGATTTTTATTATTTATGTATCAATCATGGACATATTAGCAAGTTACAATGATTATATTAGGGACAATATCATATAAATAAGAAAACAAAAAATAATTTCAAATTAATGGGTATAAGTGAGAATTATGTAATTATTTTTCATCATTTTCATTGATGTGATATTCCCATAATAATTATTATTGAGGGGTATTAAAGAAAATAATTATATTTGGGCATAACAAGGACAATGTTTAACGTCGCTGTCTTTGGACACATTATTATGTTAGAAAAGACTATTCAAATATAGGAAACTTCTCTGAAGTCTTCCAGTCAACTCGACCAGCGGCCGGTCATGTTGACTGGAAAAAGAAATAATAAATTAAATGCACCCCCTTAAAATTTTTAAAAAATATTAATAAGTTTTAATAGTGACACTTAATTTTTAACAAATTTTATTAAAAATAAGTTTTAATGAAATTATTGTTAAAAATAATTTTTTATGATATTTTTTATCTATGTTATTAAAAATTGACAATTAGTAACTTTTCTTATTACGATTTTTTATAAATTATCACTAAAACTTACAATTAATGAATTTTTTATGACGAATTTTTTAAACCGTCGCTGATAGTTAAAAATTAGTGACTTATTTTTGACGATTTTTTAAAATTGTTACTAAAATTTATAATTAGTGATATTTTTTGTAACAAAGTTTTCAAACTGTTGCTGAAAATTAACAATTAGTGAATTTTTTAATAGTATTTGATAAAAATACCATTAATTATCATAGGATCTATTGGACAATATTCATCTATTACGGCCTACACATAAGTCTCTAAAAAAATATAGTTAATTGTACATTTTTAACATAATCTATACTATATATTAAGGAAAATAAGACATCTAATGAGAAGGGTTGTGAGAATTCTACATACTCAACATGGATTTTCAAATTTTTTGAATTGTTGTAAAAGTAAAAAAACACATGTCTTAAAATGATTGATTGATTAAACATTTTTTAATATCATTAATATCACTAATTTTTGTTCTTTAATTAACTCCTTCAAATGTTTAGATAGAAAGCTTTATTGTATAACTATATTATTGATACTATATATAGATATTCTAACGTTTTAAATTTATATTCATAAACTAACTCTTAAATATTTTTAAACGGTAGAGAATTTATATTACAAAATCACATTAATATTTTAGTAGCTTTGATTTTTTTTTTTTTAATTAGGAGTCTTCAAATGTTTGGTTTTCATTTAATATTTTTAGCGCTACATAAACTTCTTAACACTCATTAATTTCTTTGTACACTTAGATGTACTAATATTTATGCATAAATTATAAAATTTATAACAGTGGTGCTAGGGACCCCCAGTACCCCAGTAGGCCAAAAATAATTTTTTTTTCTTTCCTTCC